CATGAATAAAAAAGCAATTAAAATTTTCTATTCATAAGAAATAAAGCTAAAATAGTTAACATAAGTAGTTTGAATTATGAAAATTTCTACTAGTTTAAGCTAAGAGAATAAATTAAATTTTTTATGCTTATGGAAAAATTAGTTATTAGAACCATAATTGTTTTAGTGAAACTCACAAACTCATTGAGATTTGATGCCAATGCCACTCAAGTGAATTCTAAGGAAGGTTAAGTTAAATGGCAAGACAAGTTTACAAAGTCAACTATTGGAGGAATGATGAGAATTTTAGAAAATTTCAATAGAAAAATTATACCTAGTTTCTAGTATAAAAATAAATGAAAATAAAAAAATGACATAAGAAAAGGAAATTACCCAACCCACTCCCCCACTTTTGACAATATAAAAAGAGGATTAAGTAAAAAATGAAAAAAAATGTATACAATATAAAAAATACAAAAAAATAAATAATAATAAAAACTAGTATCCAATGAGCCCCTGATCAGGAGGTGGTGGATGTGGCTAAAAATAATTGTAGTGAAAATTGCTCCTGGAACCACTCCCAATCCTCCTGGTGTTGGTGGTGTAGATCCTCCCATTCCTTAGTGCTCCACTCAATGTGCTGGTCCATTTTAAGCTCAAGGCAAGAAAAGTGGTATGTTCGAGCATCTTGTGGATATTGGTACTGATACGTTGGTGGAGGAGGTGGTTGGGACGGTGGTGCTCCTTCTTCTTCATCTTCCTGCTTTCCCCTAAGCATACATACTTTTGCCTATCACTATAGATCAGGTTGAATAAGTTGTTGGAGAAATAGGAAGGTATGTGATTAGGTTATGCAGGGTAAGTAAGATTGTATTTACACTACGAAATATAAGTAATGATATGTCCTAGTATATAAGATTTTGCTTTTGTCATACTCTAGGACTCCTAATTATGTTAAGATTTCCTATATACCAAATAATAATATTAGTTACATTAAATTCAACTCTAGTCATACAAACTAGGTAATAATAGATAGAAGAGGGTAATATTGATTCGATCACCAGCTTTGAGGATGATACTGTGTCGAAGTATGTGTTAAAAAATATGTGCATTCAACACTATTGTGCTAACTAAATCTTAGTGTTGGGATAAGGTTGAGTTCCTAAGGGTCATATTTATAGCTGGCGAATTATAGTACGGGTCCACTAAAATGTCATGGGGTTTAGTTTCAATAATGGAAATTGTGGGTGATCGTGCATGTCTTAGTCTGTAATGGCTACTTGACGTTGACATGATATAGACCCCATGAATGACCTATCACTAGTTATGTGCAGGATTGCAAAGAATTCCAAAAGAAGTTTCGTGTTATAAGGGATGGAATAGGAAATAACATACTAAAGAGTGCTGGAAGCAAATAAGTCAAGTACCTGAAAGCTTAATTTTTCTTGATCTAAAACTTTTGAGTCAATGATAGACGCCTCTTGATAATGTCTATAAACTTTAGCATCTTCATTCGTCACTTATAAGCCTAGCATCCCTTTAGGGTCTCTAGAGCTAAAGACCATTCTTCCTCTCTTGCTAGCAATTTAAAGTCCATGAGTGGTTGTAGTACTAAGAGTTGGAGGTTTGGAGTGATTTGAAATTAAAATGGCCTTCCCTCTTATAGGCTCAAATAGATCGTACGGTACAATAGGGGTTCATATAGTATATTAGCATAAGACAAATCATCCCATCAGCTACTATACAAAGACTAGTGAAAGCATACGATCTTCAAAATTAGATCCTCCTTTTATACAGGTGGTCGAATCTTTAACTAAGTCAAATTGTCAAGTACAATGAGGTTTTTGTATTATGCGAGTTGTAATAATGGATCATACCATAATAGTTAATATTATAATTATGACTGTTAAAACATTTGATTCCATTAGGTATCGTGTTATTTGAAGGGGGATAGTATAGTATGATCAGCAATGAATACATATCATATTCTATTAAATTTTTTATTTATACTTTGGGAATTGTGCTTATCTGTATATATTGTAAAGTACAAAGTTATGTCATAGAATATAAACCTAAGCTCTCTCTCATTTTCTAATCATTAGGGCCTTTGGTTACATTAAAAAAAAAAGATATTAATAACACTAATACAAGTAGCACTCATAATGACTACTACTATATAATATACACACATGTAAACAACAACAACAACAACAAATGAAACATAATAAACATACACAAAATCAATTATTCAAAGAATTTTGCATAGATTAATATCCATCAAAACCATCTAAGCACATAAATTTATAATTCCTAATCTTTTCCTAAGTTCATTAAATCTCTCAAAATGTAAGAGTTTGATCAAGATGTCAACCAGTTGATTTTTTAGTGTCAATGAATTGAATATCCATGTCAACATTTGAAACATGGTCTCAATTAAAATGATGTCTAATGCCTTTTTGTTTAGTACGTGAGTGTTGTATTAATTTCTAATTATTCATATAACACTTGTATTATCACATATTATGAGTATTGTATCCACTTTTAGTCCAAAATCAATAAGTTGTTCCTTCAGTCATAAGACATACGCAACACAACTTCTTTCTACAATATAGTATGCTTTTATAATTGATAGGGGAACTGAGTTTTTCTTACTACTTGACCAAGAGACTAAGGATTATCATATAAATTAGTAAGTTTCTGAATTACTCTTTCTATCTACCTTACATCCTGTGAAACATGAATTTAAGTATCCAACTAATTCAAATGCTAAATTATTTTTAGGATACAAGATGCATAAATTAGGCATGCCTGTAAGATATCATAGGATTCTCTTAAATGCGATCATATGGGATTCCCTAGGGTCAATATAGAACCTAGCACATAGGCAAACACTAAAACATACTACCATGCCTACTTATAGTCAAATAAAGACACTTTAACATCTTTTATTATTCCATTTAAAAATTCACCCTTAATATCCATCTGATATAATTTAAATTGTTTAAACAAGCAAATGTTGATCGTACCCAGATAACCTGTATCCTAACTATTGATGCAAAAGGTTTCCACAAAATCTATCCCCTCCATTTAATTATAGCCCTTTGAAACTAGCCTAGCATTATTTCTTACAACTTCTTTCCCATGTTCATACCTAGTCCTAACTCCTATAGATGGGTCTCATATGATAAGCTCTCTAAGACGACTATAAGCATATCTCTAGTCTCTAGGTATAAGTTTCTGAGTCTATGTTCTCAATTCCAATAATGATGACATCTCTTCTTCTTTTATCTCTACGTCTAGTATCCCTATATGTCTAATCAAGTACTACATGGGTTAACTCTTCTCCTACAATTGTTCTTTTATTAAAGACCCTATAATCTTTTCATACAACTAAGTATCCCAAAAATATAGTCGTATTAGACTTTGCATCAAACTTTCTCAAATTAGATTTTCCATTATTTAATACATAACATTTGCATCCAAATACATACAAGTCATTCAAATACATACAAGTGGGAAAGGTTTAGTGTTCTACTCTTTAGAAGCTCATAAGGGGTTTTATTCAATTTGGATCTCATATTTATCCTATTCATAACATGTGATATTTACGACGTCTACCCATAAGCATTTGGACAATCTATATACTCATTTAACATGGCTCTAGCAACCTCAACTAAAGTCATATTTTTCCTCTCCGCTATGCCATTATGTTGGGTTGTTCTAGGTGTAGCAAAATTATGTTCTATTCTTACTTCTTGGCAAAAGAATTCAAGCTTATTATTCTCAAATTCTCCTTCATGGTCACTATGTGCATAGTGGAAATGGTGCATCCTAATTTCCTTTGATTCTAAATAGAAAATATCTCGTCAAATGAATCATTTTATTTGCTTAAAACTTAACCTAAGTGAAACATGTATAGTCACAACCATAACAAACTCGTATAATTTTCATCCTAAGCATATGATTTTGATGGGTCCATATAGGTCCATATGCAAAATCTCAAGTGATCCGCTGATGCTAATATATTTAATTGAGTGAAAGGACTTAACATGTTTGCCTAAAAGACATGCACCACATTGGTACTCCTTAGTGATATCTAATTTTGATGCTCCTCTAACTAAATCTAAGTGAGTGATTTTTTTAAATGTCCTCATTCTTGTATGACATAATCTCTTATGCCATAACCAAGTCTCATCTATAGTGATTTTTAGACAATGCACTTTGCTAGACTCATTAAGACTCTCTAAGTCAATCATGTACACATTGTTTATTCTTAAACCATATAAAACAACCTTACCACCAAGTAAACTCAAGCATTTTGTCAGAAAAGATTTTCACATCAAACCCCTTATCACATGACTGGCTAAGGCTAAGTAAAGTATACCTTAAGTTTTCAACTAACAATACATTTTCAATAGTAAAGCCATTTGATTTAACTATAGTTCATGTTCCAGTCACTCTTCTTGTAGTATTGCCTCCTAGAGTCACTTTTCCTCCATTCCTACTCCAGCATGATGAATTTATTTATATCTCCTATCATATGGCACGAACATCTGCTTTCCCAGAACCTCTAGTTGTGTTTTTGGATCCATAACTTCAACTTATGTTTTCTTCTATTTGCCTTTAGTAAAATGTGTTGCATTAAAACTTGTTAACCGCTGCTTCTTCCAATTTATTTACCAAATTAGCAGTGTTATAATTCATCTCTGTTGTCTGGTGCGTAAAATCCTCCATGATGGGTAACAGACAACAATTAACCTCATTGTACATATAAGAATAAATGTGGCTGTAAACCCTTTAATTTGTGTTTTGACCCATGTTCAAACATGATTTTCTGTAGTTTTCCATCTAAATTGGACATCTGTAAGTGATAAAAGCTAGACCAGTTAGCAAGTCATATTTCACCATTGTATTATTCATTAATGTGATATTTAGCTTTTTCTTAAATACGAATAAAGTCTAACGAATCAATATTTTTGGAATGGAAAGTTATAGCATCAATCATGAGCTCACTCACAATATAAATTCTGCTGTAAAAATTTTTTAAAGATGCGTAGCAATCGATGCCTGTCTCTGCTCATATACAAGAGAAACTTTGGCAGAAACCAGCAATTCCAAGACCCTTGTAGTTTGACTCGTGCTTATTGATTCATGACCTGTTTACACAATGTAGGCCAGTAGAAATAAGTATGGTGACGTAAAGAACTAGGAATTTACATCGTCCATTACCCATCAAAAATTTAGGAGTTTAAACGTACAGGTTTGCAATTGATTTACAAATTGTGATAAAAAAGGGCTAACCATTAATAAACTCTCTGCACCATCCAATGATTTGGTCACGATACTATTACCTCCGCAGTAACCTGTTCAGGATACTTTTTTGGGATGGAACGTCATCCCCATCATCCTTTTCTAGTTCCATGTTGGCTTTTGAGAGCGCATCGGAATACAGAATTCAACTGCTTCCTTAGCTTTGCATTTTCTAGTAGCGAGCTTATAACCATCCTCCTAATCCCTTCATCTCCTGTAGCTGGATCATCATCACTGATGGAAATTACATCTTCAGAAGATCCGAGTGTCTTCATTTCTGTCAGGTCAAAGTTGGCATCGTCATCTTCTTGAGCAAGTAATTGTGCCTGTATCAGGAATCGCACCCATCAGATTTTTTTAAAAAATTGTTTAAAAAACCAAAAAATAAAAGTCATTCAAAAGAGAAAACAAGTATAATGAATAGATTAAGCATGAAATAAGTTATGTTTAGAAGATAAAAAAATCTGACGCAGTTGACCTGGTGGCCAAGTTAGAGTAGCTTAATCATCATCATCATCAGATTTATTCCAAAAATATAGGGTTAGTTTAATGAATCTGCCATTCATTCCTATTATATGAGTTAACTTCATTTGGGAAAATCTTTTTACAATATTTTTGTTATCTTAGATCCGCCCCTTATTTCATAGTCATTCAACATTTATTTTATTAACCTCTTAATGGAGCATCTTCTAATGGGCAAACCAACAAGTCAATTTTCCACTACATTAGCTACACACTGTGCCTTAAATATATAATCATTTCTCAGCCTAATCTTCATAATTTTACCACAGCTATCTCAATATGCTTATTTTGTTACTCATTGGACAACAATGACTGTTGCATCGCGCAATACACATATCCATACAGAATTGAAGTTTAATTGCAATTTTGTAGAATTTAAATTTTAAGTCAACGTGTAATTTTTTTATTCCATAGTACTATAAAAACACTTCTCTAACTTAACTCACTCAACCATTATATACTTATTTAGATTCTCACTCTTCTTATAACCCTGTTAGAATAGTAGATGTATCAAATCCTGTTAATATTAAGAAAGGTAGAGATAGGCCCAAAATGACTTGGTTAGAAGGTATTAAAATTAATCTTTTTTTAATAGATTTTTTTAATAGATTGAGAAGAAAACATGACTCTTAATAGGACAGAGAATAAAAAGTACTCATTTACCCAACACCACGTAGTGGGATAAACGCCTATTATTGTTGTTTTTGTACTCTACTTTATGATAGACCAAATATGTTTAAACCTACATAGCTAAGTATCACTTAATCTCTCAGTAATATTGACTGATATATTCTTAATTTCAAATTCTCAAATTTATATACTCGATCTTTATTCTACTATAATACAAAACTCATTATCTTTTAGAAGCTTTTATCAGTTGATTAACATTTATTATTATTTTAATAAAAGTTCCACCAATGATGATCTTCTGTAAAAATATCATTCTTGATGCAAAAGCTTTCATGAAAGAGTGCACGCAAATAGCACCTTGGAAGGAAAGAGTTAGTAGAACCAAAAGCTATTACTCAGCTCTAAAAAGGAATGAACGTTACGATTCCCAACTAAACCCTAGTAATTGCAAAGGATTGTTTGATGGCAATAAGAATAATGCATTCCATTGTTCTTGCAGTAGATCTGAAAAATACAAATAATTAAGCAATGATTTCAATTATGGCATTTAATAAAATAAATAAATATAAAAATCAGGATTCAACAACAAGAACCAGAATGCATTAAGAAGATTATAATGATATAGATTAGATAATTATGGAATTTCCAGAATATCACCTCCGCAATGAGGAGGCCTATACGGTTATCAGAAGTTGCCAGGAGTTCTAAAGCATCAGACAATGATGCTGGGTTGATATTAAAATGATCCTCCTCTGTAGAAAGAAAATTAATGCTGCATTCTTGAAGTTGATGCCAAAGAATTTCACATTCACGAAGCAACTTCTTCCCTGTAGATTTTGCACGTTTCCACCTTTGTTCCTTATTTTGAAGAACTCTCTGGGAATTTTAATAAAAAAGCATTTATTACACAGATTGGATCAACTATTAAAAAAGTCGGGAATACAAACGATTTATATAGTGCCCACATTTTAACCAGGAAGTTCAAAGAAATATTTTGTGCAATACTTAATGATATGAATAACTTAAACGAAAAATAAACAATGGGCATCATTATCATCACAGCAAGTCCTACTCCAAATTTTCGGAACAGCTTCATGAATCCTTTGCCATTCAGTCATTTTAAGTGTTGCACACACTGCAAAAAAAAAGTGTTGCACACACTGCTATGTAGATATTTTAGCACAACTTTTACTGGAGTGATATTCTAGGTCAATCATTTTCTGTCATATTACAATCACATTGATTCTATCTCGATGCCTTGTGCATTTTGCATATTATGCTCCCCCATAAAATGCCCAAATCACCTTATAAGTTACTATCTTTAAAAATGAGCTACTCCTGCACTGTTTTTAATATTTAACTAATTCACATTTACTCATTCTTAGCTAGCACACATCTCAATTCACAAGCAAACTTGATTATTTCAGATTGTTTTTTCACCCAACACTTGACCTCCAAAAAAATAGCCAAACTCATTGATGCTTTTTAAAATTCTTCTTTTAAGGAGTTGGTGATATTATAAAAATGACAGTGGATCTCAACATAGCTTTTTGCAACGGACCATATATTTTTAGTTTTTTGCAATGGAGTTTTGATTATGAAGCTTTCATCTACTTCAAAAGTAAATCTCACATAACAAAATCATATCATACTAAATAACATGAATGAAAATAACCCCTAAGTTTAATACATGCTATATCCTTACCCCTTAGCATCATAAAGAATCATTTATTTATTCTATGACAATTATAATACAATTCTTTGCTCCTTGATACGTGTTTTTAGTAACTTAAGATACCATTTATATATGCATTTTCTCCAGCTTGTCCATCCATCTATTCTAGTGATACAATATCATATTCATTTTCTATGTTAAGACTATAAATTCCCTCAACTATCTTTGATAGGATTTGGCTTTGATTTTCAAGATTGGTGACTACCAAACTCAAGATCCATTCATATTTGATTTTTCAACATTGGTAGCTACAAATTCTATATCCATCCACACTCAATTTTTATAGAAGAAGGCTGATTAATTTAAACTCTATTTACACTTAATTCTTCACACCTAGTACCTCTCGATATAATGATAAATGGTGAAGAAATCAATGTATTCATCATCTAATAACAAAAGAAACAAAAAAAAAGGAGAGGAAGAAAAAAAAAGAGTACATCTGAAAAATAAAGGGAGTCATTCAAGTTCTTAAAAAAGAAACAATTATTGCTATTTTTGGTTTTAGCGGAAGAAGAATCTCTTGGTACTAATGTGTATAGCTCTCATTCAGAATTTTGAAATACAAGGGAGGGATTAACCACAATATCTCCTCATGTCCAGCCCACACCTTCAAAATAGGTGACAGTTTATCTCAGCTAGATAAGGTTGTATTTTTGTTAATATCTCCAACTTTATAAGAAATATAATGTCTTCTAGTATCCTCTTTGAAGTCTAGTAGATTATTCGATCCATATGCAGTCATGGACAAAGGCTTCTTTAAGCCGAATCAAGTAAATCAGGTCATCTTTTGTAGCTCTTTTGATCTCTTTTATAGTTTTTTGTTCATTGTACTTGCTACTAGGTTGATGCAAATTCTTCTCTTAACATTTTTGACAATAATGAAAATCCTATGATTTTTTTTTTTTTTTCGTTCCAACCTTTTCCACAGTTGCCTAACATAAATTAGTCTTCATTCTTAGAAATACAGTAGGAAGGCTCAAATATGCAAACTATAAACAATTGTTGTTAGTGATTTGCATGCTCCCACATAAATCACAGTTATACATGCGTTCTGTTTACATATATTTACAATTCATGATACCCTAGAAATCTATGTGCTTACTGCGTGTTGACCCTCATGTTATACCCAAAGGAAACAAAAGGAGATGAAAGCAAAGTAGAAATCCAGCGTACATACCTTATGCTCGGCGGATCCACGAATTCTGCCGCAAATCCAGCTGAAATCGGCGCCGATTCTATCAAATCCCATAAATCTTGCGACTGCATCGATCTCACTCCAACTCTCGTCGTTAAAACCCAACCAAATGAGCTCTTCCTGCGCTCGTTCTCCACGCTCGACTCTCGTTCTCCACGCTCGATCTCCACTGCCCGAACTCTCCAGCACCGACATTCCCGCTAGTCGTCGAACCCAAGATCTCTTCCCGTCGATCCCTTCAAGCCCGAGAGAGAGAGAGAGAGAGAGAGAGAGAGAGTGCCGAGCTCACCTTCCCTGTACAATCTGCTCTACCCGACCTCCTCTTGCCGAGAACAAACCGACGCTAGAGCCCCTTGCCCGACTGCTCCTCTCCAAACTGAAGCCAATCTCCTTGCAACGCCGAACTCCCTCATTTCTCCATCCCGTCGAGCCCACCTGAAGAAGCCGAACATCTCCTAGCCTCCTCTTGTGAATCAAAAAGCAAACCTCACGATTTCCCATTCCTGAAGGGAACCCGATGCGACACCTATGACGAGGTAGGCGAGTGATCCCTCGATCCACGTGCTAACACCAACAACCCCGCGAAGGTACGAATTTTTCTAAAACTTAGAATCTCGCTCTCAATGTTCGTGGCGGACCGGAAAACCGCCCATGCATGCCTTTATTGCGCGTGGTGGGATGGGACTCCGGTGCGGCACCTACGGCGAAGCGGGGTCACTCATAAGTACCCCCGAGCGGGGGGAAAGCAAACTGCTTTTTCAAAAAAATACTTTTTAAAACCCCATGCACGCCTTTGTTGGCGTGGTGGATGAAAAATAAAAAATCACCGCCGCGGTATCTCACAAACACCAACCGTGCACGTCTTTGTTGACGTGGCGGGTAGGCGGCCTCTGGGTTTTTCCCCTAAACGGGGGAGGACGCCGAGAGGCTGCCGAATTTTTGTCTAAAATAAAAACAAGGACTTGGAACAATTTGGAATCTGGACTTGGTCAAACTCATGGAACTGATATTTGAGCTTGAACGAACTCAAAAGACAACAAGGGACATGCATTTGAACTAGAACTTTGACCTTGAACTTGAACAGTGAAATGGACTTGTATTTGGACAAAACGCAAATGATTAACAAATAATTGAATCTAAATGAAATAAGTTCATACTTGAACTTGATTGGAATACCGAGTATGACTTGAATCTTTTGGGATCTAACCTAAATGAACAAGGGACTTTTAGCAGTGACTGATGTACTACATGAGCCAAACATCATAACAAAGTGCAAGAAGAATGCCGAAAAATGCAAATTCCCACGAGCTGATATAGGAAATCTATTATACACTTAATATGCCGTCTACAAAAATGATGCAAGGAAACTACAATAGATAGTAACATCTACTGGCAAAAAGCAGGAGATTCGTTAGTGCACTACAATCCATCTGTAGAAATAAGTAGTGCACGACAATCTACCTGTATAAAGCAGCAAACAACTCAATCCAGAAGCTTCTACAACACGCCACCAGATCCACAACATTCATATTAGCGGACAGATGGCGTTTCGTAAATATTCCAAAAATACACCCGCACATGCACCGTCATTTGTATACACATAGGTACACAAAAAGGGGTATACTATCTAGAACCCCCATGGGCCCCGGCGAGCGTGTTATTAGTACACACGTGACGTCTAGGGATGTTGCGCGGGTCAATAAGTGAATTCATGTTCGAACCCGATCCTTCTATACAGGTCAATAGGAGTCGACAGGGTTTGAACCTTCAAACAAATACATGGTTGTGGCGACCAGTGTATTTGTTTTAATACATTCATATTAGGCCTTCAAGCCCTATAATCAATGGAATTCACTAAGGCATAAAGCCTACGAAACCCGATCCTCTGTCGACAACTCGACAGAGTTGAAAAGGTTCAAAGCATAAATATTTTTAAATGACCCCAAACACCCCGATGATGGCCGTGTTGAATGTTTATCTCAACCGGAGGGGTTCACAAATACTTTCAAGCTCCACCCAAATACCCACAAAATCCAAAACTCCATAAAGCCCAAAATCCAAAAAAAATCTAAAAATCCCAAAATTTTAGATATTTAAAATTAAAATAATCCATCGAACACTTAAAGCAAAATCCATCCACCCTCCGCAACAGTTTGCCGGGGTGGACAAATTAAAACTACTTCAGCTCACATAGAGCTAATGCCTGGTCAAAAATATCACTATGATTCATTCTGAAACAATCTCCTGCCAGTAAGGATGTGGTACGTGTCCTCTAACCGGCGGTTTTACCACCAAATGGAACCGCAGGATAAACGGTTATGACCCGGGGCCCTCTGAACTGAGTGATTTTGCCGCTAAATGGCACCACGAAATACCGGTTATGGCCAGAACTAATACGCTCCTTATTGGCATAAAATCTTTGAGATATGAATCAATAGGATATAATCGATAGGGCACAAAGCCCTTTGTTAGCTAAGGTGGATTCAAATTTGTCCCCTTAGACAAACATTCACCTCAGGTCTACAAGGTCCCCTTGGACGAAGCAACCCATGGCTGCCGACAATGATCCTTCTGTCAGGTTGGGTCGACTACCTCCTCTGACTAAGTAGACCAAGGACCACAATGGCCCGGGACGATAAAACAATGAGATCTTGATCGGGTCTATCATCCATTCCCCCACCATCCGCTTTAAGTGCAAGATGGTGAAATTTTTATTTTAAATATCAAATCTTCCGAACCCTTCAAATTTCAAATACCTAAACCTATGCTGCTACTATATGTCAAATAACATGTATTATCTACGTATCTGATTGACGACTAGCCTTAATCGAAAGTTCTCTCTCGTGATCGGGAGGGGTAGTTAACTATAAGGGCTTGCGCCTATAGGAAACCAGAACTCAGATCATAAAGTCCTCACAAAATGAGGACGAAATCTCTGGGTTGTGT